TGAACGTACCAGTGAATTTACCCTAAGCAAACACTTATACATTTTCTTGCCAGTTATAAATGAACATTTGTTGAGTACAGTCAGGGTGCTGGGAGTGGGGAGAAGTGGATTAGGAAAATACAGAAAGTACAATCCTGGGTACCAGGAAGTTTACGGTATAGCTGATATGAAAGATTGCAGGGGAAAGATGGAGATTCTTTTACAGGGCTAGGTATCAACAAATATAGATTGATTTAGTGAACAATAAGTATGTAAGTGTTTCAGAGCTGCCATTGAGATGTGAGAACATCCTCAGGAGGGCTAACTGTAGAGACATCTTACAAGAGTCAAGTTTCTACTTGGATTTTGGAAGTTTAAAGATTTTATTGAAATGTATTAAATTTGCCTTTACTTTGAAACAGGACTTCAGTGTTTCTAAAACTCACTTTATATTGGTTTCACTGTTACCATTTCCTTTAGAAGTGATATAATTTGAAGTTTAGAATCATGTGTTTGTAATTTGCTTTTCATTTTTCTCTCTTAAAAAATTGTATCCATAGGGAGAAAAAAACTTGTTTACCGTAACTACTCCTTTTAAGGGTAAAAACTAAAAGAGTGAGGGGATATGCATTAAAAGATTAGGATAACATCATTTTGAACAACCTCTTTTCTTCCTTAGCTTTTCACTCAGTAATATTACCTAAGTAAATGTATAAATGTTGATTCCATATTGATGCCCAGCAAAATAGAGATTCCTAAGTCCAGTATCATCAGAGATAGCTTTGCATTCCTTGGGGAGGGGGATCTTTTATTCCCTGATTGGGTACCCTGCAACATGACGTAACTAATTACTAGCTGCAGTTCTGACTCTCAGTAACATTGTGAAATTATTTACTTACTTACCCTTTACTTACTTTCACACTCTTCTTACCCCTCTCCCACTCTACTCAGATGTCCATGAAGTCTGGAGGTTACCCCCTCCCAGGTGACCTGCTTTTCTTACAGGAGACCCTGGGATTTGATGAGTGTTAGGTGTATGACAGGCACTGTGCTAGTTGCTTCACATAATTTATTGCAATACAGATAACTATGGATGTAAAAAACGTGCTGCAGAGAAATGCAAGAAATGAATAGCATCACACAAGTAGCCAGGTTTTCAATCCGTTTCAGACTCCAAAGCCTGTGTTGTTTGTACTACAGCAAAACATTTTAAAACCTAGAATAATCTGTGCTGCAAGTTCAGGTTTTGTGCTGGTCACAAAGGAAAATTGCTTCTGGCTGGGAACATTGCCCTGGTGCCCTTCAAATTAGATGAGGTGGATCTAATTAGTCCTACTAACTTATAAGGCCAGTTTTATATAGTTGCACCTTAAGTTGTTTAAATGTAGGCTTATTTGAGGGAGATCTTAATCTTTGTTTTGAATTTATTCAGTTCAATTCAATTTAGTGAACACTTACGAATGCCTGTTCTTTGCTAGTCACTGTGCTAGATGCTGGTGGTACAAAGACCGTCTATTTAGGGAGACATTATAACATTATAATACAATTTATTGAATCCTATAATAGAGGCGTATGCAAGGGATCATGGGAGCATAGGAGGGAATAATTAATTTGAGGAAAGATGTCATTAAATGCTATATTTGATCAGAGCCTTGAAGGTCAAGAAATAAAAATTTGCCAAAAGGACAGAAAGAGGTTGATAATTTATTTCAGGTGATGGGACCAGCCTGTGCAGATGTGTGAATATGCCTGGTATGTTTAGGATACGACAAGAGTGGTAGATTGAACGATGGTCAAAAATTCTTCCTTTTCCTGCATCTGACTCCTGGCAAAATGATATTGAAGATTCTGCCATTAAGAAGTGGAATCTGTTTCCTCATCACTGAATTTGGTTGACCATGTGACTTGCCTTGGCCAATGGATGTTAGCAGACGTGAAACCAGCAGAGACTTAAAAGGTGCTTGTGCACTAGGGATTCTGTGCTTGGAATTCCAAAGACTATACTGTGACTGAGCCCAGGTTATCTTGCTGGAGGATAAAGTAGCCACCTGCAGGAAACAGAGTCTCTGGCTGACAGTCCGCTAACCACTGGAGATGTGAGTGAGATCATCTTGGACTATCTCGCTGATCCACCATTTGCCCATAGCCACATGGGAGAGTCCTGGAAAAATCTGTTGTCAGCCCAGACGGAATGACCCAGCTTATTTGCACAGTTAAGAACTAAACAAAATGTTGTGTTAGCCACTAGGTTCGGAGTGTTTTGTTGTGCAGCAAAGCTGATACACAGAGGGTCTGAATAGAGTGCAGAGAATGTGGGAAGAGGCAGTGACTGATGATGAAGAGGAATGTAACATCTGCAACATCATGTTGAGAAGTTTAGATCTATTTTACAGGACCAAACTTCCCAAACTTCACTGATTAATGTACCACTTTGATGTCTTTAAAAAATGTCTACCTACTACATGAACTAGATTTTTATTTAAGTTTTCTGATTTTTTTAAGTTTATTTATTTTGAGAGAGAGAGAGAACACTCTTGCAGAGGGGAGGGGCAGAGAGCAAGGGAGACAGAGAATCCCAAGCAGTCTCCACTACTGTCCCCGTAGCCCTGTAGTCCCTCCTTCACATATGGTAAGATCATGACCCGAGCCAAAATCAAGAGTCAGATGCTTAACCAACTGAGCCACCAAGGTGCACCAAATTGTCTGATTTGTATATCAAAATTTATTTTAAAAACAAACAATATTAAAACCCCAGTTTGATGTGTTATTTCTGAAACTTAAAATATAAATATTTAAAATGTTGTCTGTGTGCCACCAAAAATCATCTTGTATATTGTGAGTGCTGCATTCTAGTATTTCCTGCTTTAATCAGTATGAATCAGCAGCATGTGGAGAAAAAATGGAAGTAGGGAGGGGCTGCAGTTGGGAGGAGTGAGGAGGCTATTGCAGAGGTCCAGGTAGGATATGGCATATGGTAGACAGACTTAAGATGTGTTCTGGAAGTGACAGGACCTGGTGACAGATTTGATGTAAGTGGGATGAGAATGGGGACTGTAAACTATCCACTGAATAGATACTATTAAGAAAGGGAAGAGAAAAAAAAAAAAAGAAATAGATATGATGTTGCACCAAGTTTGAGTTAGTGAATCATTTGAAAACAGAGGTCCCTGAGGCATTTATATATGTGAGTCTAAACTTAAAATGTTGTTTTTGAAGTCATCAGCATGTAGGTGATAGGTAGTTGAAGTCACAGAAGTAAATGAGATAAAGAGGAAGAGTTTAGTATAGAAATCTTTGGCTTTTTTTTTTTATCCCCAAATTCTTAAGGCATATGATTTATCCCAGAAATAGTTCACTAGAAACCATTCACTAGAAGTAGTGAGTGGTTCATATAGGTAAAGATTCTCAGATAGGGGTAGAAGGTATCGTGTAGTTTGAAAAAAAATGAAGAACAACCGTTAGGTCATTTTGATACATTACCCTTCACCCCTTGTTGATTTAGAGTGAAATGAGGACACTGCTGAGGAAGAGGACAGAATGGTCTGAGAGGTATACCTCTTCAAGAGGGACAGGACTTTTATAGAGGCGAAGAAACTTTAAGATGAAGGGCTAAGCCATGACACAATTCAGCAGAGAAATCCAGTAGTTTGTGGATTATTTTTTAATCAGATCTGGCTCATCAAAGTATAGTACTTGGGATATAATAGGAGCATAGTAAATAGGTGGACGATTTATGTAGAACCGCTTTATGTTTGAAACATTCCATGAGCCTTAAATAATCAAGTCAGACGGGATTTGTAATTATATGGCTTTGGGCTCTAAAATCAATGTGGATTTAAATTTTGTTTCTCTGTCCATGGTTGTCGTCTTTGAAGAGTTCTCACTTGGGCACCATTGTCCTGATCTCAGTGCAAAGGAATATCTGAGCTTGTTTTCAGGAGATAATGAGAGTCAACATTTTTGTGATGGTCACTTCACACATGGGCCTCCTAACCTTTGCCACCCATGGTTCCCAGAAGTAAGTTATTTGCCTTATGATGATTTGGGTTGACAGGGTGAAGATCTGTGACGGGCAGAATTGGAACGTCATCTGCCTGTGTGGTTCTCAGGTAGTGCTCAGAGTCATATCAGGTTTTAAAATGATCGTTATTATTTTTTGAATGACATAAATTTCTGCCAGGCTTTCCCTGAATCTCAGGAAAGGCCCCAGATCAGGGCAGTTTCCTCAGACCATGATTTGGTGCCTGTGCATCTTGCTTAGAGCTTGCTCAGCAGCACACACTGGTTTGACATCTGGCAGTCACGACTCCTGTGAGATTGGCTTCCCCACAAATGTGCCCTGAAAGCATCCCTGCTGTGCCCCTTCTGTCCAAGTGTAAACACATCACAGGAAATGAACAAATAAAGGCCCCACTTTTCTGGAAGGAATCAGGATCCCCTTACCCAGCTGGAACCCTGGGGTTTGGTGTCCAGCTTCAGGAAATTTGACCAGCCATTTGGGTAGAGGCTGTTGTCTTGTGGCACCTTTGTCCCTTTCTCCTTCTGATTTCCCATGTGCTATCCATACCCTCTGTTCTAAGTCATTCAGCTGAGGAAGATTGCTTCAGGACCTTTAAAATGTGAAATAAGGGTTGTCTTTCATTGTAGATTCATTAGTGCAGCTGGATTTAGTTATTTACAGTTGTAGATTTGGCATTGCATTTGGTGGGGTAGGGGACTCTTAAAAACAATTGAAGCAGTCTAAAGCTAAATCTGCAAATAAGTGAATGTTCACTTCCACTTATTTTCATATGAAGATAAAAATGTGAAAATGATTAAAATAGGTACATGACAAGGAAGTTAAGATATCTGTGTAAAGGAAGAAGGCCTTTTCACTTTTCCCTTGCTGTCTTCCCGGTTTCGGTTTTTTTTTTTTTTTTTTTTGCTCCAGCCTAATGAATGCGTTTTAAGTAAAAATACACACACTCTCTGTGCTTTCTATCTGCCTCCTACCACAAATATCAGCTCAGCTCCTCTTTCAGATCCACTTCAAGGAAACACAGACTTGAAAACTCTCCTCCATGGTTTTGTCTGAACTGGCTGCCATTCGGCAGCACACACTGGATCCAGTTGCGGAAGTGGGGGAACCTGAGAGGTGCGTGAGCTGGCAAGAGTGACCATTTAGGCGCGTGAGTCCAGTGGGCCTGCGTGAAAGGATGTAGGTAAGCCCGAAGCTAATGGGAAAAATAGGGGGTCGTCACTAATTTTGATGTGGGGAAATCTTCTGCGTGCCAGGGTATTTGAATATTTGGCAAACAGCTGGCTGGGCTCTGGGAGAGTGCCTCTTGATTCGCCTCGTCAGATGTTCAAAGATAAAATGAGGCAGCCGGCGCGCCAGCACATAGCTCATAGCCCTGCAGTCAGTTTTGAATTTAGATTTGAATTGTGATATCAATGTCATGGTGGCACATGCTTTGAGAAAGTACTTATATAGAATAATTGAAAGATTCAGTGTGAAGCTTCTGAAAGCCATAATTTAAAGTCCCAGAAGCCTCCATATTACTTTCACCATTAAAATTTAAAGTGACAGAAGCCCAATTATGTATGGTTATTTTCTTAAATAAAATCATATTTCTAACCCAACTGAAAGATTCATTGCTGCCCACTAATCTCTGTCAGGAGAACCAATCTCAGCTGCATTCAGTGTCGGCAGCAAAGATGGTTCCCTTTATCCTAGGGACTGTGAAGTGACACTGAGGAAGCAGAAGTGGAAGCCCTCTGTGGAGGAGCTGGACTTGAGGCGGCTGATTTGCACTATGATCACCCTTATGGATCCTTTCTGGTGCCAGCTTCCACACTTAATGCAGTATAACTTTAATAGCAGTCGACAAACCCAAGTAAGGGCTGTAGCACACAGTTTGCAAAACCTGAATGACGTCAAAAACTGTTAAGAGGGGGCAGCTGGTTGTAAAGCTAAATCTCACAGTGGAGTGGAGACTGGAATATAACTTTATTTATTTATTTATTTATTTATTTATTTATTTTTTCCCCAACGTTTATTTATTTTTGGGACAGAGAGAGACAGAGCATGAACGGGGGAGGAGCAGAGAGAGAGGGAGACACAGAATCGGAAACAGGCTCCAGGCTCTGAGCCATCAGCCCAGAGCCTGATGCGGGGCTCGAACTCACGGACCGCGAGATCGTGACCTGGCTGAAGTCGGACGCTTAACCGACTGCGCCACCCAGGCGCCCCTGGAATATAACTTTAAAACCTGGTAAAGAGTATAACTTTGGGGACTATTGAAAGATATGAAGCTTTTCCCTCTTTTATGAATTCACGGAAATCGATTTACCAGAAGCCTCTCTACCTGAAGACTCAGTTTGCCAGAAAGGCATATATGGCCACTGACACCGTGGCATAAAAATAGATCCATGGGAATATAGCACCATGTCCCGTGCAGAAATTTTAGTTTCTATCAGTCAAAAGTATGGAGCCAGACTTTTAGACTATGCATCTTTCCACCAATTTCTTTGGTCTGTTTGATTTTACTTTATAGTGTGTTGTGATTTGGAAATAAGGTTGTGATGGTAGTCAGGATTGTGATGAAAAATTGCACAAGGCTAGTCAAGCTTAAACCATTGTTATTTATGAGAAACTTTATTCCTCAGGGTTCCCAGGGACAAAGGAGCATGTGAATCAACTAATATTATGATGCACAGTGTTGAATGATATCAAGAGTATATGTACATCAATACTAATCTAAGCAATGTCTTATAAATTATACATCACAATTTCTCAAAAGTTTCACAGTATGATAAAACATTTACAAGTACATCTTGGTTCTGCTAAGTGTTGTTATGACTTTAGCACAACCAGCCCTGTGGCAGTTTGCAAGTTCAATTTTTGTTGCCTGGCGTTGGCCATAGATTCTTTCTACCCTTGTACAGAACTGGTATCATGCTGTGAATTCAACTTCCCTTCCTTCATCTCTGCCTCAAAATCACTGTGGCTTTTCCTGTTCTTTCCCTTTTATTCATCTCAGTAAGAGGCATTCACCTTCACTTGTGTCCATGATTCTGTCACTGTGCTTAGACTCTTCCGCTTTCCACATTTGACATTTTGTTGGCCTCTTCCTTAAAAATAAAAAAAATTCCTTCCCTATATTCCCTACTCTGTTTTCTGTCTTTATTCTTGACTTCTTTCTTGCCTTTGCTTTCGCACCATTCGCTCTTTCACCTGTTGTAGTCTACGTTTAGCCACTATAGGTGCTACTCTCTCAAGGACTACTGTCCCTGTAGGGCACAATGACTTACCTAATTGGTAAATTTGGGGTGGATAAGTAGTCCAGCTTAGCCTCCTGCCACTCTCCTTCTACTTGAGAAGGGCCTGCCTACCAGGAACCTACATTCTCGCAGAGGAAGGAAGCCCACCCCAGACCAGCACTGTGGAGATGGACTAATTCTGTAGTTAAGAAAACTAGGCTTGTCTGGCTTTTATCTCCTCTATGCTGGTTGCAGTCTGTAACAATGGTTATATCCTCATCTGTTTTATTTTTGTATTTTTTCTTGTTCACAACCCACGAGAAGAAGGAAGTCTCAGTTTGGGAGAATTGCTTAGAAACCTAAATAAATGAAATAGTATATACAAGTAGAAAGTTAGTTTTCCTTCCCAATCTCATTTTCCAGAGGCTTGGCTTCTCTCTCTTTCTCTCTCTGCACTTTTGAAGATAGCAAAAAAGTTGCCGTCTGTAAGCCAAGAAGCTGGCCCTTACCAAGAGCTAAATCTGTTGGCACCTTGATCTTGGACTTCCCAGCTTCCACAGCTGTGGAAATGTATGTCTGTTGTTTCAGTCACCCAGTCTGTGGTAGTTTGTTATAGCAGCCCAAGCTGAGTAATTCTTTCTGATTTTTCTATGCATATGCAAATGTATGTATAAGTTTATAATAGAAAAATTTTACCTGAATGTCACACAACAGAAATATACATAGCTATATATTTATCTCTACATATTGTATCTCTCTAAAATGGGTATTTCTATTTCATATAATCTCTTTACATATACATTTATTTGTATACATACATACTTGTATTTTTTCCAAAAATAGTAGCACACTATTTATACATTTTGTTCTGCACCTTCCTCTTTTCACTAACACATTTTTATATCAGTAAATAGAGACCTGTATTATTATTTTTAGTGGCTGCACAGTGTTCTCCAGTTTAAATGGTCTTTAATAAACCATTCTTCAACTGCTGGCCATTTAGATCCTTTTATACTTTTGAGGTTATAAACAATGCTTCAGTGAACATGGTACTGTTTTTATTTTTGTGAATTCATGCTAGTATTTCTGTAGGAAAGATTTCTAGAGCTGGTATTGCTGGGTATCTCATAAGATTTAATTGATTATTAATGATCAGACACTCAGGTTGGGAAGAATTCTGAGAGAGCTCAGAGTTTATCCCACACTTCCAGGAAGGTTGTTTTTTCTCGCCCTGACTTTGAAAAGTACAGAGAATGAGACTCCATATTCTTTCCAGTAATGCCTTCCAGTGACTTGAAATTGAAATAGACTGTCAAAGAAATAATGGTCCGGCCAAGAGAGTTGAAAGTAGAAGACTAAATCCTAAGGCCCTTTGGTGGGCCTGTTTTGCAAAGCAACCAAGCAATGCCAGATAGAGGATTGTAAGAGCTGCGGCAGTCTGATATTTGGATACGTGGACCTCTTGAGTCCAGCCAGACTACAAGTGATCTTAAAAATCTGGTTCCACTACCTACCTCGCAGTGCATCAGGCCTGAAAGAATAGTTGGGCTGTCTTTCACCCAGATTGTTTTGCTTCTGTCCCAAGGCTATTTCTGTTGCACAGAGGCATTTGATAGCTCATTTACAAGCTGACCTAAAGAAAACAAAACAAACAAAACAAAACCGGATGCAACTGGAGAGAGCTGTGGCATCCTTCCTGCTTCAGGTAGCCCCCTGCAAAGCAGGTAGATTTGTTTGGAATCTTTGCAATGCTGTGATGACTCTAAGTGGGAAAATACTGTGTATTAGGATTTGGCTGTCAGAGCAGACATATGCTTGACTGTCACAACTTGTACATTTTTCCCATTCAGGGTGTACATGGTTGCATGTCTTTGTTAGAAACACGTGCAGTGTGGGTAGCAAAGATGACCATGTTAAACATCCAGGAATTTTCATTTAATGTGCATATTTATACAACACTACAGAAAGGACTAGGGCGGCTTGGCTATGTTACATCATTTCCCTGCTAACCAAAGAGATTTGAAATGGACTTTTAATTATTATTACCGATTTGCTATGGCTGTATTCCTTAATATGAACATTTGATTAGGATTAATTTTCTTTAATTGATGAATAGAGCACTTAAAATTGTAGAGTTGAATGTGTTGTTACATGTTGGCATATGTGTGTACTGTATGTTGGCATATGAGGTATGACTTTTTGCTGAAATACAAATTACAGACACTTAACTGTTTTAGTTTTAAGGTCACTGTTCTTTCTCCGCCTTTGTGTGGCCTTTTACATTTGTTAATGGAGATAGAGCGGGGCTAAGTGACTATTAAACTCTTTTCTATATACAGTAAAACCCATTAACATGGACCTTACTAAATTTGGAATTTATGATAATGAGAGAGGGCTGGGTTAAAGTTTACTTTTGCATTGTCTCTGAACCAAATCTTTGCTGAGCTAATAAATAGCATAATACAATTAAAGGGGAATGGCATTATCATTTTATAAAGCAAGCTTTTCAGGCAGTCTAGAGAAGTAACGCGGGATGGAATGAGGTAGTGTGGCAAAAAGGCATAGTGCAGAAGGAGCCACTTTCTATCTGCGTGACCTTGGGCAAATTACTTAGGTTCTCTGAGTATCTTTTCCCTCACCTGTAAATGGAGATAGTTTACCTAATTTATGGGGCTGTTATGAGGGTTAGATTGAATGTATATAGAAAGCGTCTGGTGTGAGTACATACTTCATGAGTTGCAGGTAATTACCACCTACCTAAAATAATTGGTGAGCTCATTTTAAACACTACTCATTTTTTCACTGAAACGGTGTTCCACATGTTAGGGTTTTGGAACACTAATCTGAAATACTGCTTTACTTTTATTATTGATTGAAGGAACCCCCCAGCAGTTTGATGTGGCGGTAAAGAACATGAGCTTTGGAGTCAGACAAACTCAGGTTTGAAAGTATTTCTGTA